GGGGCGGGGCTAAGGCAAGGCCCCAATCAGAGCGGATTTAGGCTGAACGGTCCCCAGGATGCTCTGGGACCTGGCGTCGGGACTTTCTGCTTGGGACTTTCCTCCCGGGACTTTCCTCCCGGGGCGGCGTTTGCCAGCCTTTGTTCCGTGAAAGAAGCCAGGGCAGTTTGCATGAAGACTCTCTTTCCTGGAACAAGGATCTGGACCTTCTCCGGAAAGATCCCGCTTCGCACCCCACCCCTTGGCCTAGGCCGGACCCGTAACGGCCGAGCCTCACCCGCCCTCCGTCATCACACCTGGGGCCTCCCTTCTGGATGAAACTGGGTTGCCTCCCGGGAGTTGCTTCGCCTTGATCTCGCGCTTCTCTCTGCAGGCAGTCCTGGGCCCTCGCCTTCATCCCCCAGGAACGACAGTGCCCGTGGAGGCGCGCCCATCCCAGGGCGCTCTGCCTAGTCTGATCCGCTCTGAGCCCTATGTCTGCGGAGGAAGGAGGAGGAACATGCGCGAGCACGCGGAGGCCTGCCTTGGTCCCATTCTTGCACGCGTCTAGCATAGGGTGGAGCCTGAGCACACTGAGGCTTGAGGACAGCCACTCCGCACTTAGCACCTACGTGCTTAGCGACCCCGCAATGACTTACCACCTACAGTGCTTAGCGACCCGCACGCACTTCCCGGTCTCAGCTTCTGGTTACCCCCAGTCGGTTAGTATTCACTACACCGGGCGTTCGTGATCAGGAACCACGAATTTCATTTGTAAATCTATCTTTTATCATAGAATTCAGAATAAAAATAGTCACACCGGATTTATATTATTGTGTTGTCTATTTTGTCTTTCTAGTCCTTACCTATGAACTTTATCGTATGGATAGAATTACACTATTCTAGTGTGGTGTGGTATGGTATCTGTTGATATGCCGCCCTCCGGTTCCATGACACACCGTAACACATCCACTTTTTTTTAGGGAAGATTTTTGCTATAGGGCGTATGTGCTCACCAGAGACACGGAGAAAGAGTGAGAAACCACTTCCCCCGGGGGATGACCACATCAAAATCTCTTTTCCTCCATTCTCCTCCTAGGATTTTGGGCACACATGCACACACACCTGGCATGAGCTTCAAGCTGCCTGGTCTGGGACTAGAACCACAGTCAACCATGTGGGAGTCCAGTGTCTTAACCACTGTGCTGCCTGCTGGTCCCAACACATCCACTTTTAAACTCCTGGCTTACCAGCTAACATTTGACTGACCTAAGAATGGAACTTGATCGCTAAGTGAGTTCTTAATGCTGTCTCAGGAGCAGTAATGACCAGAAAATCTCAACAGGCTGGAGAAGTGGAGAAGGATTGCCGTGTGACTACACCCCGGGAGTGCTTTTCTCTCTCCCTCTGACTCTGATTCTCCTGGGCAAGTTGAGCCTCTAACAGTTAAAAAGAAGAAAAAAAAAAAGGAAAA